GGCGAGCGACGCGCTGCTGGGCGACGACCCGGACAACGAGAAGAACTCGCGCGTCGAGAGGTGCTTATTCACTTTTTATGTAAAATAAAACTTTATGAAACTCAAACCAGTTTCGTATAAGAGGTATTAGAAGTTATATGTTACAAAAATCAGTTGTCTCCTATCAACTACTATCAAAATCAAGTTTGAGCGAAGGCTTCCGCGGCTAGAGTCTGTATTTAATTGGCTCTCCGGCTGACGCCGCGTCCAAAGCAAAGGTGTCGACGTTTCGGTCGCCATTTGCGACGTTCCCCAGGGCGTAATGCAAACGAGGAAGGTCGCAGAATGGCGACCGAAACATCGGCACTTTTGCCATGGACGCTGCGTCGCCCAGACAGCCAATTAAATAAAACCAAGTTTGTTTCGCAAAATGATTTGTCAAATAAATTGTAGTTTTGTGCATGATTGATTGTTTGTCAGTGATTCCGGGCTCGTCAACTAATAGGGTCATTAGTCCCGTGAGTGACTAAGTGGTGTAGTGCATGTTTTGCTCGGGCGGTGGTTGTGGTCCTCCCCCGCTGTACGGTGAGATCCGGCGCCGACCTACCGTCGGCTTGCGGGGTTTCCCCAAACCAGTTATGTCCCACCAGCGGGGCACTGCCTTAGCCGGGGCGAATTCTAGTCAACCGATCCCTACTAGTCTCCCGACATACTCGTATATGGTAGGTAAGTGCATATAAAGTAAATAAAGAATGTGGATAGGACAAAGAAATGGAAGAAAAGATCGCGGGCGGGCCACTTTACATATCGTTTTATCGAACTTTTGAACTGGGTTGTGAAATGGAAAAGTTTTACAAAACAAGCAAATATCCTATTACAAAGCTGAAAAACATGTCAAGAAAGAAGTGGCCAAATTCAATTCAGTTTGTGGTGAACTAAATTACTGTACTGCAAGATGTTAATGAACAGTAATAACAAGCAAACAAAATACCAATACACGCGTACGCCATACAGGTAAACGTATGAATGAAATAATACTCTCCACTAATAATTACACAAACTTTTCTGTCAAACCTTCAGTAAAATGTTGATTAAAGCTTTCAATAAACCTGAAGTCCGAAGTTTATTTGCTGCAAAGCTATATAACATTCCCGGACGATATTTCCTGCCTTTTACTGGGAAGTACTCTTCTGACGGGTTATCGCAATTTTCCTCCGTATCAACAACTGGAGCTGCACTGATAAGACCATAAATATCTCAGATTACTGCAACACCACTCGACCTCAGGTGAAAGTCGGGTGTCACTAAAACAAGACTCAATTCCGGGAAAGTAATGGAGTGTATCGAAAATGACATATTCCTCTTTAATTATATGCTTATCCTTACTTTTGTCTTTGAATACGTGCAGTTTGGAGGTTTTCTGTGTATCTTTGTGATAACAAACTCACAAAAGCCTGAACGCTCTTATCAAAAATACAGGTAGATGTTAGAAAGAGAGTGGCGCTAGTGCTGCTGTATCAGTTTTAAAGTGGGTGTTGAAGTTCAACCCATAAAAATTATGGAGATCAATAAACAATATTTTCAGTAACTATTGAAAAATCATTATCATAGATTATTTTTTTCGAAAAAAAGGAGTAAGTCGAAAATATTTTTACTTCCAAAATACTAGCACTTTCACTGCACTTGGAATATTTTAACAGCTACTATGGTGACAGATAATATACAAAAACAATAAATTGTTATATTATAAAATAAATTTAGAAGCTTTTTTCAATTTAAAAAAAATAGTTTTTTGGGACTTCTCCTGTTTTTGCTTTCAAAATTTTATTTGAGTTTTAAATTTTGACTTTAATTTATTCGTGCAAACTAGTCACATATGTTAATAAAAATACGACAATAATCATTCCGGATAATCATTCAGGTCTTATTCTTTATCTTCATATTTAAAACTATAAGGGTTTCCACTTACTAAATATTTTGAGCTTTCTACTTGCCCAAATTACGTGATTTCTGTAAATGAAAAGAGGTGGTCCATAAAAGATACATAAGTTGTTCTCAGTTACCTGTTTTATAATGTAATTATTAAATTTTAACACCTTTTAATCAATTGAACGAACTCTGATCTGCTGTCATTTGTTTCACAAATAGTTTTGTTTTGCGAGTTGCAATCGCTCGAAAGCCGTCGAAATTTCATCGGAATGAAGTCTATGAACACATGTGATGTTACATGCTAGCAATAGGAAGTTTTTAAGTTGTAAGATTGAGTGCATTTGAATGCGAATATTAGTGGGAGTATATAAATGTCAAATTGCACATACATACACTCACTAACATGAATACATTCACTAACATGGAAATGTTTAATATTTGGACTCATTCAGTAGATTCAGATGTTACAGTAGTAGTATTTGAAAGATTTTCTATTTCAGTGATATTCAGATTTTAAAATAAAGTACACCAAGAAATTATTTCGTAAATATATTAGTTAATTACTTTTTAATAATGTTCATAATTGTTGTCTACAATGAGTAATACTTCGTGTCTCACAGATGAGAGTGATGTGGCACAATGTAGCCGCATTGAATGCTGGGAATATCTTGGCTTCTCGAAAATCACGGTGAGAAACACGTGAGCGCGACCAGTGATAGAAATAAATTTGTCATAGGTATTAACAAAATTAGACGTTTTTAATTGACATTAGGAATTTAACACAAATAATGTACTTGGTGAATTAAAAACTTCTGCATTCGTTTTAACTTATAAACTTAAACCAAGTTGGTCATTTGCTGTATATTGACGTAACGTAATGACCTTAATAACACACGCACAACAAACACACACTCATATTACACTCGTATTTAATTTTAATTACACTTTAATTTTCGACGACTCTCAGTGAAGTAGATTGAGGTACGCACTAGAGAATAAAAAGTAAATAAATCCATATAACAGCTGAATAGATATCATCGGAGTAATGCAACACAACCGACTTGCAACCAACACCACAACTCCAATACAGCAAGTCGCTCGAAATATAGGTCACCTCTCCCAAAATACAAACTTGGAATGGGCGCTCAACTTTTTTTAGATAGTTACTAGTAAAAGCTATTTCTTGAAGACGTGTAGTTTGCTAAATGTTAAATTTTTAGCCCTAGTGCTTCAAAGTGCAAATGTTCAGATTAATCTATGAATGGAACGAAGAAAATAAAATTATTTCGTCTCACCGCATCAGCTACTAATAACCCATACATATCAGTAAATGATTTGTATTCTCGAATATACATAAAATGTGCCAGTAAGCGTATTTAAAAAAAGAGTGTGTAACACTTGATAAAAGTGATTTTACTTTGCTCGTAGGATTGCGCCACTCGACCCATCGGCTTCGTTTCGCAATATTTTACACTCAAAAAATAAAATATCACTTTTATGGCCACGCTTATGGTAAATAACGAATTTTCGGGTTGGAAATACTTTTGCAAATTCAACTAGCAATATATTCGTTTCACATAATACGACAAACAAGTATTATTGTTGTTGTTCTTGCACCACGTATTCTCCATTGTGAATGGTAAATCTGATTATATGTAATTGTATGGTTATTGTTTCTATTTTTTAATAAATCTACGAAGAGAAGTCGTTTGTTCCCTCAATAGGACAACATTCCACTATGTATCGACGAGTTTTCTCCATTCAAGAAAATACACTTTCAAGGCCAACAAATTCCTGTGTGGTAAATCGAGGCAGCTAGTGCAAACCGATTCAAAGAGGTGTTCAGTCCTCTGTAGCATCATAGACGTTTATCACAAAACTGCACATTCTATTCATCTGACCGGCTGAGGTGGCTCACAACATCAACTGATGCCATTGCAACCCCTGTCTGGAGGAGAAATATGTCGTCTGCTCTGATCGGTAGTTTAACGTAGTTTGTTCGATCAACACCAGACGAATGCCGAAGAAGTTCCTAGCAAACGGGCTACGGACCGCTTGCCATCTTTACTTTCTCTTTCTTGTCCTATTCACGCTCCTTACACACGCATACACACACACACACTATTACACATGTCGGGAGATCAGTCGGGAGCTTAGATCTTGTCGCGACTCGAGCAGCGCTGCAATGGTGGACGATAC